AATGATTCTGAAGAGGGGACCAGACCATGTGGGACTTTGCAGAACATGGTGCTGACTATGGAACATGGCACTTACTCCAAGTGGGACTAAAAGCCCCCCAGAGTTCTAGGCAGAGAAATTACATTCTAAGATTTACATGAAAAAGATCACACTAGGGGCTTCTGGTCAAGATGGAGGCATAGAACATACACTTCGCCTCCTTGCACAACCATAAGAAGGATTACAACAAACCTCGAAACAAAAAACACCCAAAACTGCCAGAAAACTGAGCTGTACGGAAGTCCGACAACCAAGGACTTAGAGAAGACATATTCACCCAGACGGGAAGGAGAACGGAGAGGACAGGGTGCGGCAGGAGGGCAGGCAGTGGGGAGCACGCTGTGCGGCCCGCGGGACAGGCACCTCACACTGGGGATGCCTGGGAGCAAGCCTAACTCGGGCTATAAAACCCCGTGCAGGCTGGGGAGGCAAAAGGAACTGCCCAGTCTCTCAGGAAAGTCCATTTAAAGGGTCTACAGAGCCCCAGAACGTATACAAACCCACCCGCTCCAGAATCACCACCAGAGCAACAGCAGAGGGGTGCCATCACATAGGTGGCTGGAAGTGGGGTGAGTGCTGGATAAACCTCCAGCAGTCAAGCAGCAGCAATGCCCCCTCTCTGGGCGCCCCTCCCCCCCAACACAAAGCCATGAAGCTGTGAAGCAGGCTGCCCCTGCCCTGGCAATTATCAGAGGCTCCACCCCATACAACATTGTAACAGGTGCCAATACAGGGAGTCAAAGCAGCTCTACCTAATACACAGAAGCAAAAACAGGGAGGCTGCCAAATTGAGGAGACAAAGAAATATGGCTCAAAATGAAAGAACAAAACCTCAGTAAAAGAACTAAGAGAAACAAAGATAGCCAACCTATCAGATACAGACCTTAAGACAACTGATGATAAGGATACTTGGAGAACTCACTGAGCTCCACAAAAGCCTAAGGGAAGAAACGAAGGCTACACTAAGTGAAATAAAGAAAAACTCACAGGGAACCAACAGTGAAGGGAAGGAAGCCAGGGTTAAAATCAATGAATTGGAACAGAAGGTTCCAATTCATTGAATGTGGAAGAAATACACATTCGACCGGGACAGAATGAAAAAACAAGAATTCAAAAAAGCAAGGAGAGAAGAAGACTCTGGGCATTTTCAAACATACCAATAACCAAATCATAGGGATGCCAGAAGAAGAAGAGAAAGCAAGAAATTGAAACCTTATTTGAAAAAAACAATGGAAGAGCCCCAGCTGGTGTAGCTCAGTGGACTGAGTGCGGGCCTGCAAACCAAACAATTGTGCTTCAATTCCCAGTCAGGGCACATGCCTGGGTTGCAGGGCAGTTCCCAGTAGAGGGGGGATGCATGAGAGGCAACCATACACTGGTATTTCTCTCCCTCTCTCCTTCTCTTCCCCTCTAAAGATAAATAAATAAAAATTTTTTTAAATGGAAGAAAATTGTCCTAATTTGGCAAAGGAAAGAGACATACAAGTACAGGAAGCACAGAGCCCCAAACAAACTGGACCCAAAGAGGGCCACACCAAGACACATCATAATTGAACTGCCAAAGGTTAAGGATTGAGAGAGAATCTTAACAGCAACAAGAGAAAAGCAGAGAGTAACTTACAAAGGAGTTTCCATAAAACTATCAGCTGATTTCTCAAGAGAAACTTTGCAGGCAAGAAGAGGCTGGAAAGAAGTATTCGAAGTCATGAAAAGCAAGGACCTACAACCTAGATTACTCTACTCACAAAGCTATCATTTAGAATGGAAGGGCAGATAAGTGCTTCCCAGATAAGGTCAAGTTAAAGAGCTCATCATCACCAAGCCTTTATTGTATGAAATTTTAAAGGGACTTATTTGGGGGGAGGGATAAGAGGCATACATTGATATTTTGTTTTTGGATTATTAAGAAAAGGAAGACTAAAACAATGAACATTAAAATGATAACAAACACAACTATCAAGTGAATCTAAAAAACAAAAACAAAAACAAACTAAGCAAACAACTAGAACAAGAATAGAACCATGGGTATGAAGATCACATGGAGGGTTATCAGCTGGGAGATGGAGGGGGGGAATGTGGGAAAAGGTATGAGGAATAAAAAGCATAAATGGTATGTATAAAATAGGGTGAGGTTAAGAACAGTATAGGAAATGGAGAACCCAAAGAACTTATATACGTGACCCTTGGACATGAACTAAGTGGGCGGAGAAGGGGGGGATGCTGGAGGGAAGGTGGGTACCGGGCAGAGGGCAACGGGGGAATAACTGGGACAACTATAACAGCATAATCAATAAAACACACTTAAAGAAATCATACTAATGTAATACACTGTTAAGTATACCTGTCAAGACCAGCAGTCTGCAAACTTTTGTAAATGTCCAAACAGTAAAATATTTTAGGTTTTGCTTGGCCACACGGCCTCTTATCACAACTACTCAACTCTGCCACCATAGGGAAAAAGCAGCCATGGGCATGGTTGTGGTCCAATAAAACTTTATTTACAAAACAGGAGACTAGGCTGTAGTTTGCCAACCCTGCTCCAGACCTAATTCCTGGTTTCCAGGAAATGTAGGCACAGAAGAGCAGGATACACAGACCCCCAAGGCAGCAATATGATATGTAGATAGTGTGGAACATTCTACAAGACAACTGGCCCGACTAATAAAAAAAAAAAATCAATGTCACAGGGTGGAAGCCACGGGGCAGGAGGCAGGGAGACAAAGGGCTGACACAGACCGAAATGGGCCAGACAGACAACATGCACCTTAAACAAATGCTGGTTTCTAAAACACCATTTTGAGAACTGGGAAAATTCAAGAATGGCTATGGGGAGGCTATCATCAAACATATTTTAAAAGAGTCACCTCAAATGTGATAACGGTACCATGATTATACAGGAGAAAGTCCTATTCTCAGGAGATGCCAGTGCCTCACTGGGGGACCCGTCCTCAGAAAGGGACTCTTCCCCACGCTGACGGCCATGGCATCTGCTGCGGTGAAAACCAGAGGGGTCTCCTGCCCAAGGAACACTCTGGTGGCTCCGCACAGGTCCTTCTCCAGCCTTGCACACCGTGTGCCAGCTGCTGCTGAGTGAAGGGCTTCCTGTGTGTCATCTCCCTGAACCTTTCAGAAGCCCTGTGACAAACCCCACCTGACCCACCGCCCGCCAAGCCCGGCGGGGATCGCCATCTGGAGTCTAGGTCCTGGCTGGGCTCACCAGCTTCAAGGCTCTCCACCTCTCCCTCTCCCCTCTGGCCCTTGATTCTTTGGTGCCGCAAAACACACTATGGTTCCTGGAACGCCGAGCTGTCTCACCTCCAGGCCGCTACACGTGCTGCTCCCTCTTTCCTCTGTCACCTGCTCCTTCGCCCTGTACTTCAAAACTCAGCCCAACACCCAGATCCTATGCACCTAATGGCCTTAACTGCCTTTAGTGGCAGTGACACCTCACTCAGCTGGCCGGAGATGGTCATTCTGTTCCACTTGGTGAGGTGAGCATGTTTTTAACCTTGGGAAGGTACACAACAACAATTACACTATAGACTGTGGCAACACCTCTTGTGACATTGTTTTCTGTATGCTCTAGAAATGCACTGTACAAGAGGGTAGTTATATAAATGAATTAATTAAAAGAATCCCATCCCCTAGTTGCACTAACCACGCTTCAAATGCTCAACGGGCATTCTCTTGGGCACTGCAAGTACAGAACATTTGTACCATGGCTGAACATTTTCTTGGATGGCACTGTTCTGGGGTTCCCCAGGGGGTCAGCTGAATTCTCACCCGACAGAAAAGCTAAAAGACTACTTTTCAAAGAAAAGAAACAAAGTGAGGAAAAATATTTGCCACTCATTACAAAGTGCTAAGCTTCCTAATATTTAAAGAGCTTTCAGAAATAAATAAGAAAAAGACTACCCAATAGAAAAATAGGCAAAGGATACAGACAACCAGAAAGAGAATTTCGCATGGCCCTTGAGCAAACGTGAGGAACCCAAACCCACCCACAGAGGAAAGGCCAGTGAAAACCGCCCTGGCGCGCCACTGCCCAGGGAGCGACTGATAAACACCCAAACGCCTGCAAACACGAAGCTGTGTGGACACGCTTCAGCATGACCTGACCGACACACTTGTCAACATCACGAATACACATTCCCTGGGACCCAGCAGGCCTCCACCCGATAACTCATCTCACAGATGCACCTGCACACACGTCGACGAGACGGGCGTAGGTAGCGCACGCACCTCGGCACTGCTCGGAGTGCGCCGACACTGCCAACAACCCCCGTCACCGTCCCGAAAGAACTGCTCTACGAACCCGGGAACACACACATGCAGCCGTGTACCACAAAAGTGGCAGCTTGTTACAGATGGAAGCAGAAAGATTCTCCACGATGAGTTAAGTAGAAAAGCAAGTTTAGAACAGCTTGTGCGCAGCACTACCTTTAGTGTGAGAAGGAAAACACGGGGACAAGGGCGTGCAAGGCTCTACCTGAGCGAGCCTGTCCCCACTGGACGAAGCCCTTGGAGGGCGCAGAAGAGCAGTTAACTTGGGGCTGGGGTGGGGCAGAAGGGAGAGGGAAGCCTTCACTGGACACCTTCCTTATAACACTGTTTAATTTCTGAACTAGGTAAACCCGTATTACCTCTTCTGATTATTACACTGATCTTTTTAAAACATCAGGTCTCTGGACGGCCTGTCTCAACATCGGTGGAGATGCTCATTAACACTGCAGCCTCCTGACCCTCCACAGACCTCCAGATAACCACAGGCCCCAAGCCCCATCTCGTTAACAAGCTCCACCTGTGATCCCAACGCACCTTCCAGTACTCAGACCACAGGCGGTCTGCAGGCTGAGAACCCCTGCTCCAACCAGCTCCAGCTAGGATGACCTGTCCACCTGTACCACTTCCCCTCACTAGGCCTGGCCACTCTCCAAGGGCAGCCACACAGAGGCTCAGACTTGCCTCTCATCTGGAGAATCTACGTGGAAGGTCCTCTCGATGACTGTGGTCCACTGCAGGCAGCGTATGACGAATGTGTTGGGCCGCGGTCTCTCGGTCTTCATCAGCTGGCATTCTGTAGGCAGAGAAGAACAGGGACAGGAGAGTAAGGGGACAGCCCCGCTGGCCTGGAGACCACAGTCCCCAAGCCACTTCCTGTGTGTTGGTTCCATGCCAGATGGCACTGGGGACACTTGAGTGGCATATTGTAGACAGCCCTGGACTTGCCCCCATGGGGCTCAAGATCCGGTGCATGTGTGTGGATGGGGAGAAACCACTAGACAATGATGGCTCAGTGGTCAGGACTGTGACAGGGGGAACCAGGGGCAAGAGCATCTCCATACCGAGCCCTGAAGGAAGAGGGAGTATGGCCAGTGAGACAGACGGGTGCATCCTGCACAGAGCCCAGAGGTGCTAAAGGGCCCAGTACCCCTAGGAAATGGCAAATTCTGCTCCAGGTATAAGGAGCTGGGAAGTGAGACAGGCTTCTGCCTGCAGGGCTCAGGGGCACAGTGAGGAATGTGGGTTTTGTCCTGAGGGCAAAAGGGAGCTATGGAAGGCTTAAACAGAGAAGGGGCATGGGCCGATTGAGACAGATCCCTCTGGCTGCTGTGTAGAGGATGAGAGAATGGGCGCTGGGAGCCCAGGGAGATGGCAGGGGCTACAGCAGCCTGGAGCCACTGGGATGGGAAGGCAGGCAGGGAGGCCAGAAGGAAAGCAGAGAGAGGCACCTAGGATGGGCCTGGGGCTGGGCCTGTAGCCTGAGGACCAGGGGGCAGTAGGATGCTCCCCGAAACAGAGGCAGGGAGTAGGAGGTTGGAGGACAAAAGGAGAGACCAGATGGCCAGTTTGGGACATGGTGGGCATGAGGGACCTAGAGGACACCCAGGGAGAAATGTGGAGAAAGCTGCTCAAGACAGGCTGGCAGGTGAGGCAAGAAGCCAGGACTGGGAATAGCCATGTCACAGTCACGCAGGGAAAGCAACCAGCAGAGGCTTTAAGCAGGACAGAGAGGGAACCAGGGCTGAGTCCCAGAGAAAGCGGGGAGAGGTGAGACTGGGCAAGAAGCTGGAGCAGGGAGCCAGGTAGTAGAGAATGGTGGTCTGGGCTAAGGAGTGGCGGTGGAGATGGAGGAGTCTTTGAAATGTGCTTAGGAGGTGGGACACTGAGGATCAGTGACCAATCAGGTCAGCATGGAAGGAAGGAAGCAGGGGGCAGAGGGTTGGCAGCAAAACTGTAGTTCTCCAAGATCCAGGCAAGGGCTTTGGGTCTGCCAAGCTTTCACTGGCCAGGGTCCAGCTGGAGGGCAACACCTCAGATGCCATGGAGGAGATGGAGGATGTGAAGTTAGCCTTGCAGTCAGCTGAGTGGGAGGCCACGGCTGCCCCCAGTTTAGAGGGACAGAGAAGCAGGCTGTTGACAGAGCACAGAGGCACCTGACACCAGCCGGAACCCCAGGGCCGGCAGCAGCAGGACCACAGAGGCAGCACTGCCTGGGGCCAGGCTCCAGGCAACGCCTGGCTTCTCCCTGTTCCCTGCTTTACCTCACCCAGCTGACAGGCAGGTGGAGCAGGGGAGGGTAGGGAACAGGGGAGACAGGCCCTGGCCAGGCCCAGAGCCCAAGAATAGCCATTGTGCCCCCACGGCCTGCCACTTGTTCTCTGAGTACCCAGACTCGGGCCCACCCTCCCCAAAATGTACCTGCAACAGAGAAGTTGTTTAGCGGGGGCAGGGTCTGGTCAGGTGCCTCAGGACGCTCCTTATAGCCAATGAAGGAGCCATCACTCTTCAGCAGGAAGTACCGAGGCCTCCAGGTCTTGATGTATTCACCTGAACCAAGGCAAGGGGAGGGACAGCAGTCAGGGCAGACAGCCCAGGGAACCGCGCGGACCGCGCGTGAGTGACAAGGGACACCTGGGTGGGCAGGAGAGTGCCTCTCTGAGAGAAACCCTTGAGGCAGCCCCTGTTGACAAAGGCTGGCGCCAGGCTGGGCCCAGTGATTCAGAGGTCATGCGTGGCAGGAAGGCGCCTGCTGCGGTGTCCCAGGGCACCAGCTGCCTCAGCGTGTGGCCAGCAGCAAGCCATCCTTGCCAGCACGTGGCCCAGTCCCAAGACAGAAGCCCAGGCTTCCAAACACACATGCCCTATGGCCCTGTAAGGCCAAATCCCCGTGGGCTGGTATTCACCAGTACAGCCGTGCAGGTGGATCAAGTGTCACAACACTGTGCCAGGCCGGGTATAAATGCTGCTGCGCCCTCCAAGTGTCCCTTGACCCCTCTATTTGTTCTAACTGTGAATATCCAGGCACTCTGTGCACGTGTGCACACACACACATTTACAAGAACCCATTCCTCACAGGGCTGAAGAAAATGAGATGGGCTACGAAAGATGAAGGAAATTAAGAGGTACAAACTTCCAGGTGCAAAATGAGTAAGTCGCGGGGATGCGCAGTGCAGCACAGGACACGCAGTTGGTGGCACTGCAGAAACTTTGTGAGGCGACAGATGGTTGACCAGACTTATCATGGGGATCACTCCATAATGCATGTAAATATCAAATCACACATGTACCCGAAACTAACAAGATACTGCGTGTCAATTAGATGTCAATAAAATAAAAATTTTAACATAAAGTGCTATTTAAGTTCTCAAAAAATAAAGAGATGATAAAATGAAAACTTATACATAAATGTCCCTAGCAACATTATCCATAATAGTAAGAAGTAAAAACAACCCAGAAGTCCATCAGCTAATGGATGGATAGACGAAACATGGCACATCCACACAATATAATGCTATTTGATGACAGAAAGTAAGGTACGGATTCACACCACAACATGAATGAACCGTAACTTACAGCTAGTGAAAGGACCACAGATTAGATGACCCCATTGCTGTGAAATGTCCAGACCAGACAAACCTGCGGACATGAGCGGCAGGGCGTGACGCTGCCTCACAAAGGTCCCTAGGTAGGAGGAGGGTGGACGAGAGAGCGGGCAGGAGAACGGTAGTGCAATGTGCTCAAACTGATTGTGCTGATGGGGTAACACTCAACGCTAAAACCCGCTGGACAGTACACTTTAAATGGCTGAATTCTACTGTATGAAAATTGTATCTCAAACTGTTAAGAAATGTAAATCACGACCACAAAGCACCCGGGTTATGGCCCAGCACACCATGGCACTTCTCCCCAAACGCTCTCTCCCACCAGCTCACTGTACGGAGTGGGCCGAAGCCTTCACGTGCCCGGCGCAAGTGAGACAGGACGGCAGGGGGGCTCTGAGCTCTATTTGCTGTGTGGCCACTAGGGAAGTCCCCTCACTCCTCAGAGTCTTTGTTTCCTCTCATGGGGCCATCTGTTCATTGATATTGCTGATGGTTAGCACTACAGTGGTACTTTGTGCCACATACTGTCCTAAGTATCTTATAGATTTTAACCTACCAAATTCTTTCGAATGTAGACACTAAATGATTCCATATATACTAAGTTCAACAACTAGCAAAACCCCAAATTCAACAACAGATTAAAAGATTATACACTATGACCAAGTGGGCTTTATCCCAGGAATGCAAGGGTGGTTCAATATGTGAAAATCCTTCAACATAATACACGTTACCAGAATGAAGGAAAAAAGACACACAATTATTTTGACTGAGGCAGAAATAACATGCAACAAAATACAACATCCTTTCAAGATAAAAACACTCTGCAAACTAGGAATAGAAGGGAGTTTCTTCCACATGATAAAGAATATCTATGAAAACCTAACACCATTCATTATCAGTGAAGGACTAAAAGCTTCCCCTAAGATCAGGAACAAGACAAAGACATCCAGTACCAAGTTTAAGAGCAGTGGTGAAAGTGGACATTTTAGTCAGAGAAAAAGGCATCCGGTGTGAAAGAATAAGTATAACGATCTTTATTTGCAGATGATTCTACATACAGAAGGTCACAAAGAATCCACAAAATAATTACCAGAGTTAATATAACAAATTCAGCAAAAAGAACAGGCTAACCAGTTGTGTTTCTTTACACCACCAGTGAACAATCCAAAAAAGAAATTCAGAGAATTCTGCTTACAAGAGCATAAATAGGTGAAAGATTTATACAATAAAAACTACAAAACATTGCTGAAACAAATTAAAAACCTAAGTAATGCAGAGACATCCTGTGTTCACAGGCCGGAAAATTGAATATATTTAAGATGACAATTCTGCCCAAAGTGATTTACAGATTCAAAGCATCCCCTATCAAAATGCCAACAGCTTTTTTTTTGTTGTTGCAGAAATGGAAAAACCAATCCTCAAATATATGTGGAATTCAAATTCACTCTGCAAGGGGTCCCAAACAACCAAAACCACACTGAAAAAGAAGAACAGAGGAAAAGGACCCCCACCTCCTGATTTCCCCACAAAGCTACAGGAACTGAATCAGTGTGGTGCAAGGACTGACATTTGGAGCAAGGGAATAGAACTGTCAAAACAAACATACAAACAAACAAACAAACCACGATCAACCAACTTCCAACAGAAGTGCCAAGACCATCGAATGGGGAAAGACTGGTCTCTTTAACAAACGGCGCCGGGACAACTGGATATGCAAGTGCAAAAAAACAGAAACAGAGTCGGGCCCCACCTCACGCCATATGCCGCATACAAAAATTAAGTCAAAAGGATCATTTACATAAAAGAACTAAAACTGTAACGCTCTTAGAGAATACACAGGGGTAAATCTTGGATTTGTCAATGGATTCTTAGATATGACACACAAAAATAGAAGCAACAAAATGAAGTAGACTCATTTAAATTAAAAACTTTTAGCGCTGGCCAGTGTGGCTCAGGTGGTTGGAGCCCTGTCCCACAAACCAAAAGGCTGTAGGTTCAATCCCTAGTCAGGGCACACGCCTAGGTTGAAGGTTTGATCCCCAGGTGGGGGTTGTACAGGAGGCAACTGATCAATGTTTCTCTCTCTCTCCCCCCTCTTCCTCTCTCTCTAAAAGCAATGAAAAATTATCCTTGAGTGTGGATAATAAATAAATAACTGTTGTGCAAAGAAGAGTATTAAAAAAATGGCCCTGACTGGTATGGCTCAGTAGATTGAGCACCAGCCTGCGAACTGAAAAGTCGTGGATTCAGTTCCCAGTCAGGGCACACGCGCGGCTTGCCGGCCAGGTCCCCGGTTTGGGGGTGTGCAAGAGGCAACCCATTGATGTATCTCACAAAGGGGCAACAAGCATATGAAAAGATGCTCACCACCACTAGTCATTAGGGAAATGCAAATCAAAGCCATGGGATACCACTTCACACCCACTGGGATGGCTGCAATTTTTTAAAAAAGAGAAAGAACATTGTGGGTGAAAATGTGGAAAAACTGAAACCTTTGTGTATCACTGGTGGAAATGTAAAGTGGTGCAGCCCTATAGAAAAGTTTGGCGCTTACTCTAAAAGTTAAATACAGAATATGCTATGGATTACAAATACAGAACGTATGACCCAGCCCTGACGGCATGGCTCAGTGGGCTGATGTCATCCCACAAAGCCAAAGGTTGCTGGTTTGATTCCCAGTCAACCTGGTCCCTGGGTTGGGCACGTGCAGGAGGTGACCAGTCAATGTTTCCCTCCCTCTCCTTCTCTCTACCTTCTGCTCTCTCTAAATAAATGGAAAAAATCTTTAATAAAAACAACACACCTAACATGACCCAAATTATATAATCTATATAAAATACACACTATAAATACAGAATATATGACCCAGCAATTCCACTCCTAGGGAGGTACCCACAAGAACTGAAAACAAGTACCAAATACTTGTACGTAAATGTTCATTACAGCACTACTCACAGTAGCCAAAAGGCAGAAATAACCCCCATGCTCATCAACGGACATAAGGATAAACACAGTGTGGTATATTCACACAATGAGGCGCTGTTTGGACACAACAAGGAACGAGGCACGGACCCACGCTATAACATGGACGGGCCTCAAAAACATCACGCTCAGAGAAAGAAGCCAGACGCAAAGGCGCACATCGTACGACCCGTTTATAGGAACCGTCCAGAATAAGTAAACCCGTAAAGACAGAAAACAAACTGGCGGCTGCCAGGGGCAAAAGGAGCGGGTAACGGGGACTGACTGCCTAATGAGCACAGGGCTTTCTTCTAGGGTGATGAAAATGTTTTGGAACTAGACAGAGGTGGTGGTTACACAACACTGTGAATGTACTAAAGGCCACTGAATTGTACACTTCAAAATGGTTAATTCTGTTACATAAATCTTACCTCAATTTCAAAAAGCAAAACAAAACCAGAAAAACTCAGCTATGCTACTAGAAATTAGGAGAGTTACTGCTTGGGAGGAATGGGGGGCTTCCGGGGAATACCTTGTTCTACTTCCTGATCTGCACACTAGTTCCCGGGTGAGCTTGTAATCCAAGCACTTATCTGTGGTGTTTTATGCATCAGTTAACAAGCTAAGAAAACAAAAGAAACCTGGGAGGAAAGGAAAAACCTCCTTACAACAATCTCATTTTACAAATGAGGAAACTGAGGCACAGAAAGGTTCCATTACTCGTCCAAGACTCACGGTTGTTGACCAGAAGAAGTAAGAGGGAAGCCGGGTTTGCTCTGTCCACACCCTCGACCACCACGCTGTCTGCCTCTAAGGGACCAGGCCTGGTGGGGCCTGGCAGGGGCTGTGCCAGCAAGGGGACCGGCACACGGCATGAGGCGCCCCCGCAGCGGTGCTCTCACTCTGCCCGTTCCTCTGCCGGGTGAGAGGCAGCACGTGGGCCAGGCCTCGGAAGCACTGGTTCCGAAGTTTGCTTCCGAAGTCGGAGGCTGCAGCCCCGCCTCCCCTCCGCTGGGTCGTCCAGCGAGTCAAGTCTTCCTGCCGAGCCTCAGTGTCCTGGTCTGTCAGATGCCGGCCTCATAAGGCGGCTACGAAAATACAACAAAAGGTCAGGCAGCTCGGCTGGTTGGGGCGCCATCCCATAGACTAACAGGTTGCAGGTTCGACCCTCAGTCAGGGCACGTGCCTAGGCTACAGGTTTGGTCTCTGGTTGGGGAGCATACAGGACACAAGTGCTCAATGTTCCTCTCTCACATTGATGTTTTCTTTCTCTCTCTCCTCCCCCCCCCCCACTCTCAAATCAATAAACATATCCTTGGGTGATGTTTTTTTTTTTTAAAAGAAGAAAATGCATCAAAATTGGGCTTGCCTACAGCATAGCCCACGCCTGGCACAGAGCAAGCACAAAGAAACTGGGACTGCTATTATTGTGGCCACCGGGAGTGAGCAGGGTGGGCTGGTGCAGGTGCCAAAACAGCTGCAGTCAGCAGGGGTGGCCGCCTTGCCTGGCCCACCTCTGACAGCTGCTGCTTAGAGCAACGGGCACTGGGGAGCCCAGGAGTGACACAATACGAGTGTGGATGGTGCAAACCCAGGCAGGTGCCATCTCAACAGCTCATCTGGCCCCCCTGTAGCACAAATGAAGACACTGAAGGTCTGAGAGGGGCCGAGACCCAGGTACTGCTATCAGCAGCCCTGGACCAGAGACAAACCCCAACACCCGCCACAGTTCTCCAGCCGCCTCCAGGACTCCCACGCTCCAGCCCAAAGAGCCACGGGCCTTGGGCAACTCAAGAGCCTGAGACCCTGGCCTACCAACCACGCTCACACCACCACCACACACCCTCCCAACCAATCGTTCAACAACCAGTTACTGAGCGCCTACCCCATGCCAAAGCACTTTTCTAGGCACTGGGGCTCCTGCAGCAAACAGAGAGAGGACAACAGAGGCCTGGCTTGTTAACGCATTCTATGAATGTGAAACCAAGGCTCAGAGAGGTGACAACTTGCTCACGGTCACACCAAGAGGAAGTGGCAGAGCCAGGATTAGAACCTTGACATCTGCCAAGGTTCAGAACACTCAGTCGACAGCCCCAAACACAGGGCCTAATCTGTGGGGGGTAGAATGACCTGTCTTGAATGATACGCCTTTCTTTAAGGGCAAGAAGGACAGGTCTCACCGCTCAGTCTGATGGGGGAAGCCTGGCCCTGGGGAACTGCCTCTGTCCCTCATCACTGCTCTGTGCCTGTGGGCTGGGAGAGGACAGGGTGAAAAGGCTCCTCTCCCTGTTACCGAAGGACCAGCCCCATCGGCAACTCTGCCCTATTCAAACATGCCCAATTCTCTCGCCTCTCCAGACTCACAGGCTGGCTGCCCCCTCCGCCCTCATGCTCTTCCCCAGTTAGCCACAGGGCTCACTCCCTTGCCTCCTTTAGATCTTTGTTCTTACGGGCCCCTCTCGGCGAGGCGCTCCCTGACACCGTGTTTATGACAGCTCCCCTGCCAACCCCCCGGCCCTTCCTTCTCACATTGCTGGGTTTTTCTTCACGGCACCTACCACCACTGCACACGCATGCCTATTCTGGTGCCACCCGCCCTCCCCACCGAAAGTAAACATCAACATGAAGGCGGGGGTTTGCCTGTTCGGTTCACTGCTATGTCCCCCGTGCCTAGGTCAGTGCCTGGAATACAAAGGATGCTCAATAAATGCTGGCTAAGCCCCGGCCGGGTAGTTCAGTTGGTTAAAGCATTGTCTGAATATGCCAAGGTTACAGGTTTGACCCTTAGTCAGAGCACATACAAGAGTCAGCCAATGAATGCATAACTGGGTAAAACAACAAATCAATGTTTCTCTCTCTCTCCCGTCCTTCCTCTAAAATCAATTAAAAAAAAAAGAAGCCACTCTAAAATAAATGTTTGCTGAATGAATGAAAGTACACAGAGAGCAGCTACCAGCAGGCGTGACACCTCCCTCCTCTAGAAGGTCCACAGAGGCCGGGCAGGCTGCCTCCTGCCTCCTCGGCCTGAACGAGCCGACCCGCAGCAGGTGCTTCTTCCCAGCAGCACCTGGCAGCACAGCTGGTGAAGATCTGCGGACAGGTGGCTGGGGTCTGGGGATCCCTTCTCTTTAGTCTCTTATAAATGACTTCGCTTCTCTGGCCTGGCTGCCCACCAGCACAACCAGATCAGGTCACACCATGGCGCACAACCTCCCGGCTTCCAATCACCTGGGGAGCTCCCACCTGGGCCCTTTCCATCACTGCTCCATCGCGTCACCGCCTCCCACTCTCTAGGCTCCAGCCGCCCACCCACCTTCACCCTTGCTGCGCCCTTAACCAGCCCTGTGCACTGCTCACTCCCATACCTGCTCCGGGCCTCTGCCTCTGCTCACTGTCGCCTCCTTAGAGCCACTTCCTCTACCACCTCTTCTCTCGCCAGCCCCTTCACCCTCAAAGTTCCTATTCTTTACAACAGACTTATCACCACCTACCATCAGGCCTGCTCATCTGTTTATTGTTTGTCCCCACTTCCTGAGGGCATCACTGTCCCCAGAGCCTGGGACGCCCTGGCACACCGCACACACTCAATGAGTATTTGCTGAATGAATGCTGGATATCGCCTCAGCCTGTTACTCCAATTAAATGACTTCCCTTTCGCTGTGCCTTAGTTTCTTTACCTATGAAATAGGGCTATGAATGAAGTCACCACTGCAGAAGCAGAACTTGAGGCCTGGTCTGTGGGTTCATGCAGGGTGCCCAGGAAGGCCTGGAGACCCAGCCCCAGGTGGGGCCCCAGCTCCCCGCCCAGACGACCACTGAAGGGGTCCATGAAATGTGATCCTAAGCAGATACTGGCCTGGGGCAGGCAGGCGGGACTGGGATCCTGGCCCTGGGAGACTGTGAAGGCCCCACACCTCTGCCTTCTCACAACATCGGCTGCCAGGAGGAAGGGTGTGGCGGGGGTTTGGGGGGTGCAATCCCACAGGCCTAAGCAGCATGCGCATCCCCTTACCACGCTTGTGAAGCCAGCCTTCTTTGATGACAGACACCTCGTTCATGGTGGCAGCGTGACACGCTGTCACCTAGCTCGGGACAGCTCAGGGCAGCAGGACATGCAGGAGGCACAGTGAACCGAGCACAATCTGCAAGAAAGAGAGGAGATCATCAGAGTTAGAGGGGGACTTGGCCCCAGCCCTTCCCTCGGGACAGCCGAGCTCTGAGGCTCCTGTGGCTGGTTGGCTTGCTCTGTGCACAGTGGAGGCAGGGAAGAGTGGGGGGGCCCTGCTCCTAGGGCCCAGTGTGGGGGGAAGATGCGGCTACGTCCCCAGGGACCCCAGTGTGGGGAGGGGGAAAGAACACAACTCTGCCCTCGGAGCTCCACCCTACAGGGAGCAGAGCTCCTAGGCCTACGCGCGGGCCAGACCCTGTGCTCGACACCCACGCCGCACAGAGGCAGCCCACCCACCCACCCTCGCTCCAGGCTGGGATGGTGGCAAGGGAGCCACAGCCCCACCCCCAGCGTCACTCCCATGCCCCAACGCTGAGGTAACCTGGGATGAATCAGACAGCCCTGGGCACCTGAGGGAGTGCTCAGAGCCACCAGCATCTGCCTGCCACCCCCAACACACACACACATGCTCTCACTCACTCTCTCCTTTCCACATCAGGGAGCCAACACCCTTCCACCTTTAGCAAACCATTCCCCAGTGACAGGCCACTCCATGTCACTCCCTCAGCCTCAGGTCCCTCCTTGCCCCCACCAAATGACTGAGGAAAGCAACCTACGGTGTAGACACACACTTGTCTGGGGCCCAGGAGCCAGTCCTGGGGTCTCGATCAGGGCCCTGGTCCGTTCCCCGAGACCTCTGCTTCTGTCCTCAGGGACCAGCAGCTGACAGACTGACAGACGCCGAGGCTGCTGCTCCTGTCTCAGGTTCCCGGGAGGGCGGGTGGAGGGGAGAAGGGCGGGAGGCAGCCACCAGCTGAGCCCCTACCTGGAGCCTGGATAGAAGCCACAAGAGCCCAAGGCGCTTTTTGCCTTTCCTGGCCTGGGGTTATTTGCGGACAGCAGGTCAGGAGCTACTGTGGCTCCCAGAGAAGTGGCAGCTGGCTGTAGGGACACCCTGGGCATCAGCTTTCTCTCGTGCCCCAGGGGAGCTGGTGGGCTGGACACACTACTGCCTGGCATGTGACTGTGGCAGGCTGCCGGCCAGGCACAGGGAAGGAGGTGAGTGGGAGGAAGCGGGGGAAAGACAAGACGAACAGTGACAGAGAAGTAAACAGCGGGATGAGAAATCACATTCTGAACTCCAAAGGCAGGGCCAGAAGCAGCAACGGGGCTCCCCTCCCCAGCAGGCATGACAAGCACCCCAAAGGACTCACACGCCGTGAACCCAACAGCCGGGACTGCCAGACACTCAATCCTGAATGTCCCACCAGTCTGTGCTGCAACTGCTAATGTGACCAGTCTCTCCGGAGACCCGGCCCTCCCTAGGCCTGGCTCAGATCCAGGGCTGGCTTCTCCGGGGAGAGTCCAGCCCCACCTCCTTCCTGGACTCCTCCCCTCCAATCTGTCCCTCATGCAGCAGCTATGGGGACCCTCGAACCTAACCCTGTCCTTCCCCTACCCAAAACCCTTCCATGCTTCCCACTGGCCTTGGCAAAGAAGCAGCTCCAAGGCTTGGGATTCAAGGCCCCTCAGGACGTGGCCTCTGCTGGCCTGTACTCCACTGCCTCCCACCCCTGCTGACCGGGCTGGTTCCCACTGCTCAGCCACCCAGCGTCCTGACTGCCCGTCCCACCTAACCCCACCTCCTCTCCCCTCCCCTCCACTCCCCTACCACCACAGCCTTCTCCCTGGGCTCCCAGCCTCTGTACTCACCCCTATACTCCAGCTAAATCTAGCCCTGTCCCTCCCTGTGAGCCAAGGAGCAGCTGGAATGCCCTCAGTAAAGGCTAGCGACCATGACAATGGTTACGCCTGGTACCACTCCCCCACCTCTCCTTCCCCCACCCTCACTCTGCCCGCTTCTGTCACTTAGGCCCTTACTTCTGTGAGTTCTCCCTCCTCCCTGAGGTCTCGGCTGAACCGACTTCTCCTCCAGAGAGCTTTCCTGACCTCAGAGGCTTCACTGGGTGCTCTCGGTGCACTTCCTCAAACAATTCTCCCCACACCTACAAATGCTAACACGGTGGACCAGCACACCTGTGCATCTGCTGCGCACACAACGAATTACCCAAGTCTCCCCAGCACAGCCCCAGGCCAGGACCAGACACAGCCTCAGAAACACTCCCAAAGTCTAGTCCTGCCCGGTTTTTTGTTGTATTTTTTAGTGTGTCCTAAGCTCCAGATACTATCCTGGGGGCCAGAGACACAGCATCACTAAGACACAGCCCCTGCCTTCATGGAGCTCACACTCCAGTGGGAGCGGCAGACAAGGCACCAACACACACACAGCAACAGCGCAAGGTGAAGAGGCGCTGACAAAAAAAGCCAGGGAAAAGGATGGCAGGCGATGGGGCCGTTAGCCACACACTGTACGGCACTGTGAGCAGGGTATGAGTCCTGACATGCAGGGAAAAGAATCTCAGGTAAGGGAACAGCAAGTGCAGAAGCCCTGACGCAGGAAGGAGCTGGGTAAGCGTGGGGAACTACCACGCGGCCCCATGGCTCCAGGGTCAGAAGCCAGGAGAGGTGGGTGGCAGAACATTTAGGCTCCGGCAGCTGAGGACTCGGGGAATTTCTCCCCAACATAGGGGCCGGCACTGCACTTCCCCAGGTAGCTCAATTTGGAATAGTTCCCAGAGGGCCAGGATGGACCGGAGTCCAAAGGAAGGGTGGGTGTGAAAGGAACGAACGGGAGTGATACCCAATCTCAGCTCTCCTCTCCCTCCCCTCCCAGGCCAGCGACTTCACCCGGAGGACTCTCCGTGATTCAAAGGCACTAAAGCACCCACTGTGTGCCGGGGTTCAGCACACAGCCTGGCCCCCCGAAATGCCCAAACACATAGCTGCCATGATCTGAAAGACAGAAGGGAAGGCAGGCAGGCAGGCATGACCCAAGAGTGGCCAGGGTCGCAGAGTCCAGGAGCCTCTGCCAGTCAGGTGGCCTTGAGCAGGGTGGCAGTGTCCCCACGGAGCCTCTCTTAATCGCTCTACACCACCCCACCGGAGGGGCAGGGACCATGCCTAGGGTAGGGCAGAGGCACAGAGAGGGAGAGATGGTTACCTTGGGCTCCCCAGCTAAGCAGAGGTGGAGGTGCTGGCCGCTGCTCTGCACACCAGAGTCACTTTTTACATTCTCATTTCAGTGATTAAGAGGCCAGCGGTAGCTTGGGCAAGGGCAGGGGGAGGAAATGGAAGATCCCCTGTGTCCTGGCTGGATCCTGCCCTGTCCTCCCACTGAGGGTGGTGCCTCCACTGAGGTGTTTGTGACGCAGTCCTGTGGTGATGAAATACCAGGCACCTCAGCCAAGAGGATGGCCTGTTCCCTGGGGAGCTGCCGATGGAGGACGCCTAGGCAAGAGGACAGAGAAGCAGCCTCTGGAGGTCAGGTGTCCGTGCACGGGGGCCTGCCCTGGCTGCTGCCTGAGGCAGCGCCCCCACAGCGGGGAGCACTGCATGGCCCCGCCCCCACTCCCCCACTCACTGCTGCTCCCTGGGGGGTCCAGGCCCGAGTCTGCCGAGGGCCTAGGCTGGAGCTGCCGCTGTCAGCTGGAGTGAGCCACGTGGGAAGTGGGGTGAAAAGAACAAGGGCACCTGCAGGAGAGGACAACCAAGGACCACACACAATCTCATCAGTTACAGGGACATGCAAATCAAAGCCACTCACCAGGAGAGCTAAAATTCTTTAAACTGACAAGGCTAAGTATTGACAGGGATGGAAAGGAATCATGACTAGTCAGAGTATGGAACACTCGGCCACTACAGAAAACCGTGTGGCAGTAAGAATCAAAGCTCAGTGTGTACCTGCACCATACCCCAACAATTCCGCCTCCCCAAGAGAAAGTGTGTTCACCACAGGACATGTATGTACTAGAATGTTCACAGCCGCGAACAGTAACCCTCAAACTGGAAACAGACCATGTGTCCACCCAGAGAAGAATGGGCAAGTTAACTGAAGTAAATTCAGACGGCACAGCATTCTACACAATAAAAAGGACCAAACTACTGACACGCAGAACAGGGATGAAGTGTACGACTGAGATGTGGAATGCCGGAAGCCAGACACAAAATAACACACCAAGAGCCTATTCATAGCAAGTTCAGAACAGGCCACATGACATTATTTGTTTGAAGACGACTTTCTCACTTGTAAACTGGGCAGAAATCAAGGCAGCAAATATCCCAAAGTCAGCAGTGGTTAGATTTGGGAATAACTGTTGGGGGGGAGGGGATAGATGAATATTTCTGGGAGCTGGCGATGTTCTGTGGTGGTTACACCAGGCTTTGCTTTATAATTACTTGTTATAGCATAAATTTAACATATTTTTCTGTACTTTATGACAAAAGTAGTAACGATGAAAAAGCACCAGCGTCTGGAGGTCCAAAGGAGAGCTCAAGCTGGGCCTCCTGGTTTCCGGGCCCCCCGACCGCAAGGCCGGCCCGCCTGGATTTCCCCTCAGAGAGACTGGGCCTCCAGTGAGTAAGGAGAAGGGTCTGGGGTCCAGAGTCCAGATCTCGACCCCGGGCTCTGCTGCTCCGCGGCTGTGTGACATCCTCTACGCAGGGCAGCGATCCCGTCTGCACAAGGGTCCCCCTGGAGGAGGGACACACACTCCAGGAGGAGCAGGGCAGCCTGGCGAGGGGGAGGCTGGAGTTTCAGGGGATACACTCAACTGCACAGAAGCAAGCTGAATGGGAATGCAATCCACCACACTCAACAACCAGCTCTGAGCAGGGAGGGCGCAGCGACTGGACAGGGGTCCCTAAGGGGGCTCTGACCGTACTGGCAAGTTGGTCGGGGTTTTTTTTGTTTTTTTAAGATTTTATTCATCTATTTTTAGAGAGAGTGGAAGGGAGGGAGAAAGAGAGGGAGAGAAACATCAATGTGTGGTTGCCTCTTACACACCTGCTACTGGGGACCTGGCCTGCAACCCAGGCATGTGCCCTGACTGGGAATGGAACCGGCAACCCTTCGGT